ATGGTCTGTCTGTCAGAATATTTGGGAACTGCTTTATCGAAACACCGGCAGGACAGTACGCACACACTTAGTCTGGCGCACACGCCCACACATACACACATAATTTGTCACGTTGAATGTCAATGTCAGGGAGGGTGTTGCAGTCAGTGGGGTCATGGGGTCAGCTCGTACAATGTCACGTGACGTCACTAGTCCCCCACCCCTATATAGCGCGGCTAAGCTTGAATGATTATCTAGGTCCAACTAGACCGACTGGTTAAGCGACTTTCAAATGAAACGTGTGATCTCTAATGGCGGAATTATTAGACCGTAAACAGTCTGGTGATTTTAAAATAATGAAATCTCGCGACTTTACCAGCAGTGTTTCTTCCAGACGTTTTTCTCCGGGGGGGGCACTTGAAATTTTCGGGGGGGGCGGTAGACTTTCTTCGGGGGGGCGGACACTGTTAAAAGTATATATTTTCTATATAAATTATATAAATTTCATTTCGTTCGGGGGGGCGGTAAAAAATTTTCGGGGGGGCTTTGCCCCCCCGAAGAGATGCCTGGAAGAAACTCTGTTTACCAGCTTGTGACTTCCAGAAATCATTCAGTTTATTTCTTCAACCAACTTCAGATTAGAAAACATATTTTCATTGCCGAGTGTTGTGCCCGCTAACACGCACACCTATTTCAGGCACTAAACTAAACTTTAACCATTTCCCTAACCCCACGTTAGTTTTAACACTAGTCTAATCACGCTGCTATCCCCACGCTTTTCTTAATCACCTCTGAGACTCCTCACGTAGCAGAAGTCAAACCTGATACCCCCACAACAGTAAAGTATAATTAAACCTAGACCAAGCGCGGTTAGGCTTCAAACACCATCTCACCATACTACCGAACACGATAAGAAAAATAATGAAAGTAAAATTTTACCTGATCAAGGGATGTTTTTGTAGCCAGAAAAAAAAAAAACCCACTTATTAAGTTAAATGTAGAACAGAAATAGCTCACCTTACTTCCTTATTCTAGCCTGTCCTTCAGCAATCTTATCACCAGTCTCGCGCTAAACCACGTGACATTTACCTCCACACCTGGCCCCACGTTTTCTCTTACGTTGGCACAAATTCCAACGAGAATTAATTTGTCGAAAAAAAAAAGTTACCACGTACAAAAAGGCTTTTCTTTCAACATCTGTACTAAGACGATCAAATCCCCTTACAACCAACAGCAGGGTAAAAAATAAAGGGTGATATCTCACGTCAACACCGAGCGATGAATCATTGTAAGGTATGATACATTTCTATACGGTATACATTTCTAAGTATATCTTCAATTAAAAGATTAGCCAACTCAGCCCAAACTTTAATGTACCGTGCACACACGAAACATTAATAGATTTGACACAGCTGCTATGCTTAAGTATGCTTTCATTAAACATCTGAAAAACGTATGTTATCATTAAACCTAAGACATCTGAAAAACCTATGCTTTCATTTGACATAAGACATCTGTAGTTTCTTCTTAAACAATTTAAAAGCATTTCTGTCATGGAATTTATTTTTTTTTACATTCATAATTCATAATTCTGTCTAGGCCAGAATTTCTTACAGACATGTATCGGGGGAGGGGGGGGGGGGGTGCAGCCTCGCCTGGGACAAAATAGAGAAATATTAAATCTATATAGAAAATAGATACAGGCAATGGCGCCTCTCCGGAAGTTTTAAGTGCCATAGCACCCCCCGCCATCGGGGGAAAATTGTCAGAAAGAAAACCTATACTAGGCTACATTGAAAAAATACATCTTGGTATAGATATTATTGGGGTCAATATCAATAATTAGTCAAAATGAACTACAAGCTTGAACTTAAATTATGCCTCTCTTGTTTATGATCTAGAACACACACCTCTGGTCGTGTCACAGCCCACAATTTGTAGGTGGCGCTTTGGACATTATCGATTTTAGTCGCACCTTCTGGTAGGTACTAATTCAGCTGATCTTGGTTCGGTCCCTTGACAATCATATACTGAGATTGATAGAACATAAATTGTAGGGCTTCTCAAATTCGAAATACACAGCCTGAATAGCTAAAAGATCGATTTTTGTTATCTAAATCTGGGATTATAGCAACTGAGCTATAGCACACGGTATAACAGGATTACTGATATTTATAGAGGGCAGGGAAGAGGGGTGGAAACAAATCTATATTTAGCTCTGATCATAAAATTACTAACATTGCAGTTGTTTGTTTAACGTTGATATTCTAGCTCCACTTCACGCACAAAAGCACCACAACACGTACCACATAATGCGCCACATTTCGCACCACACGACGCGCTATACTACTATCACAACACTAAGCACAACATGCACCATCACACGTACTACAACACGCACCATCCCATGTACCACAACACGCACCACCTAATGTGCTACATCACGCACAACATGCACCACAACACGCACCACATAATGCGCCACAACACGCACCACATAATGCGCCACAACACGCATCACAGATTTGGCAAACAACACGCTACTCGTAACACACATCACCCTTGTGTCTATGTTCTACTAAACATTTTTGTTTATTAGAAGAGCCGTCTATAAATAACATCACGATACAACAACTAACTTTCCCATTCCCATAGAAACACCACAAGAATCAGACTTCCCACTTCGACAATAACTAACGGTAATTAACGGCTTTTGCATCTTTATTTACATGATGTATGTTATGCTATATGCTAAGTCACATTTACTTCACTCCAGTCATCAGAATCACACTCCCCATTCTCCTTTCACTTTGTAAATATGGGCGAAGATTGGCCTTGTTTCCAAAAACTAAAGCTGTAATAACTGAACAAGCACAGAGTATACAAATAGAATACCTGCTTTATTGTGATTCGATCCAGGTACACTGAAACATCGAGCTGTGACGTGATTCGGTTATCGGAAAATAGTTGTTATAGCACTCATGAAAATCGTTACAAAATAAACATTCCAGTTTTTAATACCGCGTAACTTAACTTTTAACCCGTCTCTTAGCCACATGACGACTTATGACGTCATTTAACCCATTGGTTCCGGTGCTGTTCTAGGTTTATCAGACAAGGCCAACAGAATTTTATATCATTTATCAAAACAACACACCAATTTGCCTAGTGAGGATACCATTGGCTTAGTCACACCAATTGGTTAGGGTTAGAACTGCGTGTGTTACACATATCGTCATAGGATACCAACTATCATCAACTGAAACGAAGCGTGCTGTGTATTTGATTAATGCTGAGATGAATGGGTTCAGTAGCAAACGCTTGGAGAGTTGTTATTCAAAATTAGCACTATCCTCTTAATTAAATATTTAAAAAATGGTGTTGGCTATCTACTATTCTATGTGACCGTAAAATCGTGTTCACTTCAAGCTTTAAACTTGTATCAGAGTATTTTATTTTTAGATTTATCCGTCACAGCTCTACATAGTCTATTTTACGGACATGCGCAGTGCAGCGTGAAATTGATTACGTGTAAATTTCCACACACACCCCCCCCCCCCCCAACCCCACAGTAGGTCAGGTGAGTTAGTTCACTTTAAAAATGTTAACCCAATATGAAACCCCGTGTTCTGCGTGCATAAGCATTTTTCCCCCTCAGTGCACAGATGCTAAAACTGCTGAAACACACAACTGTTACCTATAAGGTTCGGAGTTACACAGTTCCCTCCCTGGCAGCTTTAAATAGCCTGTTTAGCATAATGTGCCTGTTGTTAGGGCATGGTTGGGTCAGTGATCATTTGACTTGTTGCCTAACAGGCATACATGCGGTCATTTATAAACTCATGCTTCAGAACGATGCTTTGAATTCGCTGGTCTAACACCATCCGAAATGACATACTTATTACTATGGCAATGGACAAATCAATCTCCAGCTGAAGAAGAGATCCTCTAGAAAAAAAAAGACGGATTGGCTACATATTCCGGGAGCCTGTATCAAGCATAACAAGACAGACCCACACCTGGAATCCACAGGGCAAAATGAAAAGAGGCAGACCAAAAAAGACCTGGAGACGTGACCTGGAAGAAGACACCAAGAAGATTGGATACAGTCGGGGACAGCTGGAGAGACTAGCCCTGGAAAGAGAGGCCCTGGAGAGACTAGCCCTGGACAGAGAGGCCGGAGGCGTAGCGGGGAGGGGAGTGAAAAAAAAAATAGCAAAATATAGAGAGAAAAATGATAATTCCACTTAATTAAGTGATTAATACGAGTGTTAAATAGTGTTTTAAGAGGTGCAAATCGAAAGTTTGGAGGGGGTGCTAATCGCAAATTGAAAGTTTGTCCCTGGGAAGGGTCGCTATGCCTCTGGGGGGTGACACCATTAAGTGCCGCACCGGGTGACACCCGACCTCGCTACGCCACTGAGAGAGGCCACTAAAGCTCTTGTCGCGAGTTAAGGCCTACATGAAACAATTAGCAAGGCGAGAGATGAGCATCGTACACTAAGTTTATAAGGATCATAGAGTTAATCAGGGCCATAATTTGCCGAGGGTTATATTATCTTAATGAAGGACATATTATAATAGTTAATGGGGCCATGCAACAAAGTTAAATGCCGTCCAATGCGATGAATTAAACTAGGGTTGTAGGCCTACTTTAAATAGGACCATACAAAAGAATTTATTATGGCCAAACTTCAAAACAAACAGCATATTCAAAACAATTGAAACATACAAAAAGATGCCCCCCAAAAGCAGCACGTCAAAGGATATGTACTGCTGACTGAGGCGAGCCCAAACATATTTTACAGCATATATATATATATATATATATATATATATATATATATATATATATATATATATATATATATATATATATATATATATATATATATATATATATATATATATATATATATATATATATATAGGCTACCGTCTCGAACTAAACCCCAACCCAACCCTAAACCCAACACGACTAAGCCCACAATACCTAATACAACTAGTGCTGGTATACTCACGGTACATCCGGGTGAGTCAGAGACTCTTCTTCCGCTATCTGCGACGCGATCTCCATGACGCCTCTAACAGTTTAACTCAGAGAATTCAACTTTTACACTGACTCAAGTCATTCGCGTCAGCAGCGCATCTCCTGGCGCTGATATCAAGGCTGATAAGAAAGTTGCGTCACGCCTTTAATTAATTAGCTATCTCCGGCCAATGTCCTGTTGGTGGTCAAGTTGTTGTGGTCAGCTGATCAATGGCTGGTCACTCCATGTCATGTGGTACTGTCACGTGATGAGATAAACCGACGTCATACATCGAAATGTCATCACACGGAGATAGCCCTACCCTGAAACATAAAACAAGTGTTGAACATCAGACATCACATACAGATTATTACAGACCCTAGACTAAAAACATAATAAGATGCATTGTATGTAATGTATGTAGTCCTGTCTTTACTGTTGTTGCATCCTTGGCACTTTATCCAGCATACCCCCCCCCCCCCACACACACACACATTGCGCTGCATCTTAACTAATTCTAACCCTTGCACAACCCTACTCGACTTACTCAACCTTTATAGGGCGAGTTATTAATTGAGTCTTCAGCAAGCACCGCCAAAGGCGTAGCGACGGGGGCGGGTGTGTGCATATGTCCCCGGGCGCCGATCCTAGGGGCGCCAAAATAGGTTGGGAAAAAAATTAAAAGCTCATTTTAGCTGCAGTTTTGAGTTATAAATATAAATAAACCGGGAGTGATCTCCCCAAAACTTTCTCGAATATTCTTATATAAAATAACAGGGGATGGGAACTCGGGCTATAGACATGATTTTTAATCCATTTTAATCCATACTTAAAGTTTTTAAAATAGAATAAAATCTCGCAAACAAATTAATTGCACACCAAGTGAACGCCAAATAAAAAAGCGCATAATAGTGCGCAATATTATTAGTACTTTTAAAATTTACATTAGTTTTTTGAGAAATCGGAAGTAGCGTTAATTACTACTTCCGGTCAACGGAAATTACTCAAAATTTGACAGAAGGTAGAAAATTAGATGTTTTACTTACATGTGAAATTTCATTTATCTATCTGAAATAGTACTCAAGTTATAGGCTTTTGAAAAATTCAAAGTAGAAAAAGTACCACTTCCGGTTATCGGAAATCGCTCAAAAGTTGATACGGATCTACGATTTTGATAAAATACTTATATATGAAATTTCAGCAACCTAGCTGTAACGGTACTCAAGTAATCGTGTTTACACACAGACACACACACAGACACACAGACATACGGACAGAATTGCAAAGCCCAGTTTTTCAGACTGAATTACGCATACAACCTTTTAATTTTGATAAATCTGGATTGACAATTTTTGCCCGATTAAAATAAGTCCTCTATACTTCGGATGTGAAGAAGGACTGAGGTGTAATACGGTGAAAATTGTTAAAATTTCAATTTATTTTTGTGCACGATTACAATACTTTCTCTATACTTCGTATATACGAGAAAGTAAAAATATAGGGGGGGGGGCGCCAAATTAAAAGTTTGTCCCCGGGCGCCGGGAGGGGTCGCTAAGCTTATGAGCACCACCACACAATGCGATTACATCCAGGTTGAAGGTACAGACCACTGAGACACCACTCTCTTGAGATCCGTTACCGGGAGGGGGGGGGTGGATATTATTTCGGACATGGCTAGAATTTACTTCCAGACCGGTGAATTACACCCTCCTGTCTCGAGCTTCACAGACGGTGAATTCAATACACCTCAACCCTACAGTCGTTTGTATCCAGTTGTGAAGGTATCTGTCCTCCCAACCCTATGGTTTACCGTCTCATGACCTCTCCTTTAAGAAGAGAGACACGGTTGTGCAAACACCGACTCTAGGATGTTTGAAAGTGTCAATTTATTTAACGAAGAGCTAACCTTAACACTAACTGATGATTTTTACACTAAAATAAACCGGGAGTGATCTCCCCTAAACTTTCTCGAATATTCTTATATAAAATAACAGGGGATGGGAACTCGGGCTATAGACATGATTTTTAATCCATTTTAAATACTTAAAGTTTTAAAAATAGAATAAAATCTCGTAGACAAATTAATTGCACACCAAGTGAACGCCAAATAAAAAAGCGCATAATAGTGCGCAATATTATTAGTACTTTTAAAATTTACAATAGTTTTTTGAGAAATCGGAAGTAGCGTAAATTACTACTTCCGGTCAACGAAAATTTCTCAAAATTTAACAGAAGGTAGAGAATTAGATCTTTTACTTACATGTGAAATTTCATTTATCTATCTGAAATAATACTCAAGTTATAGGCTTTTGAAAAATTCAAAGTAGGAAAAGTACCACTTCCGGTTATCGGAAATCGCTCAAAAGTTGATACGGATCTACGATTTTGATAAAATACTTATATATGAAATTTCATCAACCTAGCAGTAACGGTACTCAAGTTATCGTGTTTACACACGGACAGACACACACACAGACACACACACAGAGACATACGGACAAGATTGCAAAATTATGTTTTTTCCGTATCAGTGAGGTGTAAAACGTCGAGATTTGTAAAAATCTCGATTTTTTTTTTTGCACGATTACAAGACTTTCTCTATACTTCGTATATACGAGAAAGTAAAAATGTAATGACAAACTTTAGCTACTAGATGCTAAGCTCCTAACTTGATCCAAACTGTTTGTATCAAGAGGTTTTAAAGGTGACATATACTGATTAGGTGGTAACTGGTGAGGGACCAGTACCGACAGTAAGCTGAACGAAGGACGATGGCCACGTCACCGAGCTGCGCTTGTGTTGTGGAATGGTATAAACTACTATAAATATAAACTTGCTGGTTGTACTATACAGATTTAAAGCATCGACTCACAGTTCAATAACAGCTTAAGCGTCCGTATAACATACTGATCTATCGGAGGAAACGATCGGAAATAGGGCCTATATGACCTAAATAGAAAATATCGATCTCGAAATCTATTTATAGATATCAGAGCATAGGGTTCAAACCAAGTGCTAGAAATTGTGTGAACTAGTCTAGAGAGCTTGCACAATCTGGCAACAATAATGTGGCCAGGTAGAGTAATGTGGCCATTTTTGTCATTTGACAGTTTTTGTGTATTGAGGCCAAGTAGAGTAATGAGTCGTAATGAGTTTGAGTAATGTGGCCTTGTTACGTAGCTTGATTTATAAGCGGATTTTACTGACATAACTAACTAAATTACTGCTTCAGTTGAGCCTATAGAGCCTACACACACAGACCCGTGTTGCCAATATCTTAAAGAAGCCTTAATAATACTGGGTAAAGCTGAGAAGACTTGCAACAGTTTCTGCTGAACGTGTTGATGCATGTCACAAAACAATAGCGGGGTGGGATGGATTTGGTGGATTGACCGTAATCATCCGCAGCACGTCTGTGCCATTAAATAGTTGTTTTATTTTTCTCACTATGTTCACATTTTTTTTTTTAAATTGATAATCAATCAGAAAAAAAGGAAGGACGGCAGTGTTTGAAAAAAAAAATCTCATAGAATGTTTTAATTGCATGTAGTATGTAGACTCAGTGTTCAGGGGTCCCATAATTGATGCAAGCTCGCGTGGAAGGGACGTGACTTTGCACTTGAATAATTGGACTTTTTTAAAACTAACATTAAAATGTTATAGGCAGTGTAAACAATTGCTTCTTTTCGAGTATGCCTAATTTTAAGTGTACATCATAGCATCGGCTCTACAAAAAAAATTTTTTTTAAAGAAATTAGCTGAAACTGTACATTACAGTTGCTTAGCGATACCCCTCTCTCGCCAAATGTAAGGGGGAGGGGGGGTACTGCCCCCTCCCATCGGGCCAATTTACTATATATGTGCCCCCCCCCCCCATATAAAATAAAATTTGTGAAAGATATAGTGACTTTAACCTAATCCTGTGGGATAGGAAACTCGGTTATGAAGGCACGTCTTACAGATAACTACAGTTTTGACTGCATGATTACGAAAAGCACTATCCACAGAACCATTGATTCCATTGTGCGTGTACGGCTAACCGAAGAGAGCCTGTCTCCTATAGCACCAATGAAGCCAACAAAGCACTCTCTTGGCGCAGCACCAAATCTTCACGGAAGTTGTGCCAGAAATTTGACGCCAGTGCTCGACTAATGAGGCCTGATTCTGTGCCTAGCCAAACATTTCTTTCATACAACAAAAGACAAAAAGCCTTTCGGCTTCATGATATTATTAGCACTTACTGGGGTTTTTTTTAACAATCGGCGAAGAATTTTCGTAAGAGGTAATGTCAGTGAGGGGGGGGGGGGGGAGGAGGTTAGTCCGGGTTTTTTTTGTGTGTTCCGAAAGTCACATTTAATGAAGCACAAATTTTACGTTATTCCAATAAATAAAACGTCAAGAAAAATATACATAGATCCAAACCTCTCATACCTCCACTTAAAATTGCTTTTTTTTTTTAATCAAGTATTTTTTACCGAGCTTGGACAAGAAAAGTATCTGGATCAATTTTTATGACAAATTACATTAGCAGTTGTTTTTTTTTTTTAATGCGAAATAACGACTAAAATTAAGTTTCAATCGTCACTTTTTTAAAATGCTCAAGAGTCGTCACATTTTTTACCCTTCTTCCTCAACATCTTGTCAAATTAGTCCACCCAGCCCTTCACATTAGTATAGTGAGACGTTGTTTCTGGTGACTTAAATATTGTATTACTAAAGAACACCATGCACACATTATAGCTGGAATTTTGGCTAATTTAAATCTAATCTGGCCCTAGATACAGAATTAGATTTAGACTTAATACCCTCTTGGGCTCTTAATTCTAAGTCCATATATTAGATGCAGAGTAAGTGCCAAATATTTGCTTCTTTTTTTTTTTAAAGTTTGCCAACAAAAAGTCTGCTTGTAAGTGTAGCCAGACTAGGTCTGGGGGGGGGGGGGGATTCAACCTCCACCACGGTTTGGAAAAAAAATTATAACTAGATCTGGATAGTAAAAAGTTTAAAAATGGATTCGGCGACAAAATGTAAATACTCAGCACAGTTTAAAAGAAGAGGTTAGGGGGAGGGGAGCAGAACAGAAAAGCGGGCTACTAAACAATAGCTTGTTTCATGTTTGGCTTATATATGCGTAAATCCGGAGGGTACTGCCTAGATCTATTTATTATTATAATATTAAATATAGGGGCCTATAGATTTTAATACAATATATAGCAACGTCCTAACTTACAAATATAAAATATAGATCTAGATCTAGATCTGATTGCTATTATTATAAAGTAATATAAAAGGCCTAGTCATTTTAATGATATAATCTTGTTTTAAACCTATATCACTAAAGGTATAGGCCTAAATATTATTAATATAAGGCATACAGTACATCGTAGTAGGCCCTTAATTCTTAAAACTTAATACTTTATAGATAAATAATTAGATATAGATTATCATTCCGGGCGGTTTGGAGCCATGGCTAGATCTAGATCCATTATTAATATTTCATTATTTATTAAATTAAACATTCTAGATCTAGATCTATATTAGAATGTAAAATGCGGCCTACAATAATAATTATAATTATTAGGCCTAATTATGCCTAGATCTAATTAGAAGGCCTAAACTTTCATTTACGTAAGACAAGAAGTGCTAGGTTTAGATCTAGAATCTAGGTCTAGTTCTTCAAAATTATTCATGCGAACCCGTAACACCAGCGTTCCGTGTTTCTAGGTCAATGAACTTTTTTAACAACATGGATACCTCAACGTCATCGCTACTCTAAATCTAGATCGAGACCTAGATTCTCGATCCAGATGCATCTAACATTGACTAACATAGATCTAGATCTAGAATCTATGAGTTTTACTGCCCAGTTGTCTGGGACTGCTAACACATAATCACGTCACTTGCCTGCTAAGTAAAAACAAGATACCGTGGCATCACTGTAATCAGTGTAATGAATGATTCCCCGGCTAGTGGGTCAAAGTCAACGGATGGTTCAACACGGGAAAACAAGGACAAACTGACAACACACTAGTCTACAAACTTCATAAAGAAGAAAAAAAAACATGGTTGCGCAATGGGAAATCTCTTTGCACAAAACTGGAACCAAGTAATGAAATATCGCATAAATAGATAATTATTATGTAATTAATCAGGCTGCTTGTGTGTTTGGTTTTTTAAATGTTTTATTTACATTACAAGCTTAGGAAAAAAATAGATCTGTGTGGAGTAGGTTTTGTATAAGTTTCTGTAGAAGGCCTATCAGACCATGCCATAGGCCATAGGCATATCTGTCCATTCTATACATTACTTAAACTTATTTTTTTTTTGTCAATTCAAAAGGTGTTCAAATTATTAGTAGAAGAGTGAGCTTAGATTGACCTACTTATTCAGCACTTGGCGATCGTGTAGAAATGACGTCATACTTTTTTAAAAAAGGGGGGGGGGGGGGGCAGACTGCTACGGGTGACTGACAAAGGGAGAGTGTGACGTCAAAATTTTGCGTCGTAAAAAGTTATTTTTTAAACTTGAATTTTTGTAAATTGTAATTTAAAACATTGATTAGTCTACTTAATTTTGAACCAGCTGGATTAATAATTAAGAAATAACTAGATGATTTTGATTAATGGAGGGGGGGGGGATAAAAAGATGTTTGGCATTATTTTACAGGGGGAGCAGAGTTTCTTCCAGGCATCTCTTCGGGGGGGGGGGGGGGGCAAAGCCCCCCCCCCCCCCGAACGAAATGAAACTTATATAATTTATATAGAAAATATATACTTTTAACAGTGTCCGCCCCCCCCCCCGAAGAAAGTCTACCGCCCCCCGAAAATTTCAGGTGCCCCCCCCCCCCCCGGAGAAAAAAGTCTGGAAGAAACACTGAGGGGGAGGGGAGTGAGGAATTAGACTTTTAGAAGGCAACGGGGAGGAGGTTGTCATATAATTTGGCAAAAAAAGCTAGGCGTTATTTAACATTAAAACAATGAGGTACTTATAAGGAAAAGAAATAGTTCGTTTTTTTAATAGACCCAAAAAATTAATCTTTGTTGTTGATTTCTTTCTCAATATTTTTTTACATTAAATTTGTTTGCATATCTTTGGCCAACCAAAATTGAACTTCTCTGTTCTAAGTTCTATCAAGTATATTTTGATAACTTCAACAGATTTCAAATTACCAAACTTAAGATTGCCCTCCCAGTTTTTGTTAGGACACTCAGTATATCTGCAACTAGTGCAAGTCTACACATTAAATGAATATTTTATCAAACATCAGTATTTGTTCATACTTTGGAACAGTGATCAATACACATTTATCAAATCACACAATTTAATTTTCTTTGTACAACTTGAACTATATAAAGCAATAAGAAAAACTTTAATAAACACATGCATATTTCATTTTACAATTTTAAGTAATGCTGTGGTTGGAAAAACCTTATTACTTGGTGACCACAAATTAAACTCCCAAAAACAGATATGTTTTAAAATTCACAGAAAAACATAAAAGCACATGAATAAAAATTAATAGCAACACAAAGGGGGGAGTTTTAAAAAATCTTTTATTTTTTTTTTAATGTATGAAAACATTTACCAAAACAAAAAAACAGCAAACAATCTAGTAACATGGCCTTAGGGTAACCATTTGATCACAATTTCTTTCAGCTGGAAATTTTCTTTGACTTAATTTCCACTTTGAAACCAGTCCCAAAATATTTTTAATCAACTAAGCCCATCTGTTTAATAGTAGAAAGAAAAGATAACTCTTTGCACATCAATAAAAACTGATTATAGATTATACTGATAAGAAACATTGACAACAAGCTGATCTACAGACTAGAATACAACACAGTGGCTTGCTACATCTAGTATACACTTGGCTAGACAGAGCACAATTTCAACTAAATATCACAAAACTGCTTTAAAAATTTAGCCCTTAATAAATTTTGTTTTTACAAATTTGTTCTATTAAGATTAATGTTAATAAGTTGAATTTTATGCAAACATTCTGCTGAAAAAAAATGATAGATGATTTCTACTTAGGTTTCTTCCTGATTGTTTATGCTGCAACAAGCAGAACAATTACAAGTCAGTTTACAAGGGAAATTGTTTTAATACTTGCACACAATTTTATTACTGCCTGCAATAATATTCATATTTAAAATGCTACAAACATGTCAAAGAATATTTAACACCAAAAAATGAAATATGAAGATGTTTTTAAACAATGGTAAACAAAGATGATTAAGATCCTTGGGAGTTAATGAAAAAGATACTGTACAAATAAGAATTATCTGTTTTGTTTACTAAGTTTTGATTTAAAACACAACCTGAAATGTATACTCGAAAAAGTACACCAAATCTAAATTGTTCTGTAAACCAACCAATGAATGGCTAGTTTTTAGCATTTAATTTCCACATCAAATGATCAAATTTAATCTGCTGTAAGTGACAATACTTTTATATGATACCCCTGAAAACAGGAAACAAGTGCAGTAGTTGGGAGATGTCTACTATGGAGGTGCACATGATGTAGAAAGCCAAGTATCAGATGTTTACGATATATAATTAATGGTTATAGTTGTAATAAAGATAGTACTCTTTTTAAGTAAGCACTTTGAAGATTATGACATAAGCTGAAAAAATTATTAGAGGTGTTTTTTTTTAATTGCCTTCATAAAAAGTTGAATTTCACCATTTTAATCGAATAACATTATTAGTTGTTTTCAATTTCTACAACTTTAATTCATTTTTTTTATTTGAAGTGGCTTATTTTTGTTCTTAAACTTTAGAAAACAATGGTCATTATAAAAACATTACAAATGCAAAACTCTGAGAATAAAAACAAATTGCCAGATTCAACTCTTATTTTCTTGATGGTCTAAATCTTTATCTCAAATACTGATTGATTGTGGCATGTCATTAGTTTTTTTTATAGATGTGTAATGTAAAATATCCTTAATACAAAAGACCAGTCAACAATTAATAGAATCAACTGAATAATTGTATCCTTTCATAAGTAGCTATCCTTTCTACAAAACATATCTAAATAACTCAAATGCACTTAAATTATTTTTCTGGAAAATAATAAACTGAATAAATTAGTGTAAGTTAATCTTACATGTATCACACACGCACGCACACTCTTTCTTACACAATGACAGGTTACCCTGCCTTCTTTTGGAAACACCAGCAAGAACAAATTGTGCTTGAGACAAGGACCAAGAGACTTCTGATGTTTTATCAGGTTATCACATGCAGCAGAGCTGTTTATAGTGACACCGTCATTTCTATCAAAGTCTGCATGGGCCTTTTCCACTTGACTATCTGCAATTACTGTGTATCTTGATTGAAAAAAATAGAAATAGCACATATCAGACAATTGGATAAGGTATATAAAAAATATAAAACTAAAAAATACAGCTACCATGTTTACAAGGGGAAATTAAATGTCGGCAGTTTTATTTAAGAGCTTGCTTTGTCTCGAAATTTTCTGTAGCGATAGAATTTACAAAATATTTATACAGTATGAAATTCTTAAAGCTTATCAATAGAATGGGGTGGTTTAGAAAAAAACGTTTAAAGAAACCAACTCTGCCAAAAAAATAATTATTATATTTAATCAGGATTAAAAACCATATTTTAATAAATACATTTACTGTATTTAATTTCATCACCACACTATGTGAAAGAAAAAAAGAAAATCTAAATGAGTTGTTTCAATTAATTAGCTAGAATATATTCTCTAATAAGGGTCTGACTCTTTAAAAAAAAAAAAGATAATTACCCAAAACATTTCAGGATACTGCCATTTCTTGTTTCATCACAGTTGCTATGTTGGTATATATCTCAAATTGTTTTCAATCATTTGAATCATTTCTGAGGGGGATGGAATGCGTCCTGTTTGCAGCTTTGACCAAATGGGGACATCTGAAAGAAAAATAATTTTTATGTTACTAAGGATAACTTTTCTCTATAATGAAAGATTCAGTTCCCCCCAGAGCAATCAAAATAATTTACATTTCTCTATTAAATTTTAAATATGAGAATTCCTTCATTCTCATGCATTTCCATTAAACAAGTACATTAAATACAAAACAAAGGATTGCATTGTTTAACTCGGTACCAGACAGAAGGTTTATTCTGAAGAGGAGTAGTCAGTTTTGTTTTTAAAAACAGTAAAACTAGGTCAAATAGTTAGAATGTGAATAAGTAGGACTACCAGGTTAGAGACCATGCTTGTATGATTGACAGGGAATTTAAATGCAGATCTTACTACCAGATTTGCATGGTCAATAACTGATATTTCCACATTAACCCTTTAAATGCGCCCTCGTCGGTTGAAATATTTTGTGTGTGGTACAGTCCGGTGCACTCGCAGTCGCAATGCTATGTATAGTACGTTTATTTACGTGTAGTAGCGGAAGTCTGGTAACAAGATTTTGAAGATACCAGCGGAAGTGGGAAATAAATAGTTTTGTTTTTCTAACTGTTCTATCACTAGTGTTGCATTTTCTATGTTTTAAAAGCTAAAAAAAATTTCCTCAAAATTATGAGCAAAATAAATTAGTTAAATTAAATGTAATTAAAATGCCTTGGCCGTTGAATCTGGTTTTAATTATAGTGTAACAATTGAAAAAGAAAGTAGCTCCAGGGACTACGTTGAAATTTTTTTAGCATTTAAAATAAAAAATTTTATGGAAATAATATTAGAAGTAGTGTTTTGTTTACATATTTTTGGGATTAGTGTTATTTTTATTAATTAATAGTAAATAATTGAGCTTGTTAACGTCATGCATAATAATAACCTTGTGTATATTACTTTTTATTTGATTTTTTAACATATGTGCTTATTTTTTTTTAAAAAGTGCCAAGGTTGAAAAATGAGTAGCCCTTTCACCAGGCCATAGGGGAAGTAAAATAGTTTTGATGCCCAGGCCGGTAAATGGTTAACTGTAGCCTATACATTTTCCTTACTGAATTCTGAATTATTAATTTTATTCATATCATTATCATCTGCACAAAAAAAAGAAATATTATTTTAGAAACAATTTGGGTAAGCCTACATGGCAGATGTTTCTCTCTGTCTGCGTTTCTGTAGCGGGTAATTTGTTTTACGAGATAAGGTTGCTGACCTTATGCTCAACCCCCAACCTGGAGGACCAGGGTGCTAGCTTTCGTCTGACCCCTACCCGCGCGAATTCGCTGGCCTAAAACCATCAGAAATGATGTTCTATGGCAACGGACAAATCAACTGCCAGTGGAAGTAGAGATCCTCCAGAGAAAATGGAAATGGATTGGCCACACACTCAGGAAGCCTGTATCCAGCATAACAAGACAGGCCCTCACCTGGAATCCACAAGGCAGGAGGAAGAGAGGCAGACCAAGAAAGACCTGGAGACGTGACCTGGAAGAAGACACCAAGAAGATTGGATACACCTGGGGACAGTTGGAGAGACTAGCCCTGGACAGAGACGTCTGGAAAGCTCTTGTCAGCGGCCTATGTCCCAGTAGGGACGACAGGCAAACATGAACATGATGACATGGCAGATGTTTGGGACTAAGGGAAGTGAATGTAAAATAACATTACAGAGGAAATAGTAAAAAAAAAAAGATAGTGTTAAATAACATTATTTAAAAGCATTTGCTCCATACAGAAATTGTTGTACAACCTTACCATTAAACAAGATTTCGAAAGCACCTGTAGATATTAACTGTCCCTCTATTGCATTTGAGATAAAAAATAACATAAGGCAAGCATACATCTGAAATATAAAAAAAATGAACTTCATTCATTTTAAGCAGTCATAGTTTTGCCTAAAATTAACATTTAACTACCCTGAACATCATATTGCTATGTAAAGACAATTTTATAATTAATACTATAAATCTCACCTTATTTTCAATTGCCCAAGTAAATATACCTGGAGTCTGTAAATTGAGCACAGGAAAAGGATTATAGCTTGTAACAATTAGACCTATCAACACAAACTTAATGATGCCAAGGGCCTGAGCTAATGTTGCCTGGAGCACTGGAGGCGGGTAATTGTCGCCAACAATCATCAGTGCCGGGAAACGCTCATGCAGTGCTTGAGCATACTGCTCAAACACTTTCCTGTAACCTCAGGAGGAACTAGAACAATAAAAAGAGGAAGATAAATATTGATAGTTAACCAATTTAAAAAAACAACAAAGAAGACATTTTTCAACAATTTAAGAATGACTAAGCCTAAGTAATCATGTGTGGGACTCTTCACACTATAAAAAGTACCTTTTGTTGATCTTATAATCTTTTTGACTTAATTGGCAAACAGATAGGATTGTTTGGTGTTTTTTATTATCTGTATTGACAGGAAGGTGCTTGCCAATTTATAAACTTATATACTAAAATTAAGATAACTTTTGTTTCACGAATTTTTAAGATAAACATAACCTAAAGATATGGAAGAAAGTTAATGATTTTTCGTTAACAGAGCAGGCCTTAAAAAATCAAAAAGTTCTGATATAATAGAAACAACCAATTTATGCTATAAAGGCATGATATCTACAAAAAAATGTTGTGAGCAATATTAATGTTCAATGAATGTTGTGTTGTTATAGGAGAAGATGTAAGTATACTAGGCATTATGGTAAGTTTTTCCTAACCACCACAGAACGCTAAAATTAAAATACCAATTAATCTAGTAAATGCTGTTTAATAAAACATAATTGCTTTATGCTAAGTCATTCTTTTATTGAATTTTCAAAGTTATTAGTAGAACTTGTTTATATAGTCTGTGTAAATCTACATGAATAGTTACAAGTTATTAGATTGAGGTTTGCACACTTTTTGTTGCAATTTAAGATATTCTGATAAAACTTTGCAAATTAACATTAAGGCAATAAAAATATGCAAGTAAAATTAAATTTAGAAGATAACTGAAATTAATGGATGTGTTATTACACAAAATCTAGCTCAGGTCATTCTGTGACCTATGTGTTATTGAAGATAGATAAAAAATCTTTCCACATAGAAGCTAAATGATGTTGTCATTGGAAATATGCAAGTCAAATTACTATAAAAAAGGGACACGCACAATAATGAAGTCTAATTAAGGTGTGTGGCACCTTTACATAGTGACATAAAGCCTATTTTGACTTCTTTCGTGCTATCAAGGGAATTGTCTTTTAAACAGTTTTTGACAATAGTTTATTTTAACAGGTCTTTAATGTATAAAAAAGATTATGATACTTACGGTCTTTATAACTATATAAAATAAGGGTCCATATGGGTTAATATAAGCACGTGTATTTCTTTACTACTCATTTAGATAGAGGCCTATAGGCTAATTACTAAAAGAAGATTGGCTACTAGGCCTATCCTCTAATTATTTGTACTTACAGTTTTATTAATTAAACTAGAACTATTAAGTTAAATTAAACAGTTTTTAAATATTAGAGTAGAACTAATGTAGGTAGTAGCAAATAAAATTTATGGATGATATTTCGAGTCGTCCCTTTGAATCCCGGTCAGAACGTCCCCCCGGCGCAGCCCCAACCGCACTGAGTTATATATAAACTCAAAACAATAATATGAAACAAGGGTGATTCTTTTATATACATTTTCCAAACGAATTGAATTATAATTTGTAAATTTTTGCTATGCTATTTTATATCAAAAACAGATTTTTACTTTGACTAATTATATAGGAAAAACAAGATGGTTGATGAAGGTCAACATCTTAAAAAATTCATAAAAATTAGTTATTCAATATCAATTCCCATTGAACAAATTAAATAAAAATCAAAAGGAATTCAATTAACTAATTATGGTTAGGCCTATATAGAATTCAACAAAATTATGTCAGAATTAAAATAAAAATGAATTTAGAGCATGTAGGCCTATTGTTTTCAAATTATTATTTTTTAAGGAAAAATTCTAAGAAAATGACAAGTAACAGCACTAGATAGTAAGCCTAGCTGAGAACCTTTGTAGATTTTGAATATGTGGTTGATTTGGAGATTATAAAAGAATATAGGCCTAATATTTATTTTTAATTAATAAGAAAAAGAATTGGGGGAAAAAAAATCAGGAAACCGAATAATGGAATTTTAGGCAGATTTTACTGAAAGTCTCGAGTTCGAACCCTCGGGCAGATGAGGCTCGTTAGCTGGGGACAGCCACTCTTCTAGGAGAGAGAACTCCAAAATTAAACAACTGCTGCCTTGTAGTTTGTTCTTGGTTGGACAAAGGCTATGGAAGCAAATCCAAAAAGAAAAGCAGGTTGAAATCGGAGTCAATGGCCTCAATGGCCCATAACCAGTTGACACGTAACGCTTAATTGTGTTGGAGGCGTGGTCGAGTCGGCAAAAAGCTCATGGTTAATAAATTCGAACAAAGTCTTGAGTTCAAACCCACTGGCAGATAAATCTCAATCCCCTTCAACACTAATAATTAAGAACGAAGAAGAAGAAGACTGAAAGTTATCTTCCTTTTTCCCCTTAGTCTACATACCAACCTAATGGCTAGAAATAAGGTTTAGGCAGCGTAAGATAGAAATAGGGTTGGGATATAGTAATCAGAAAGTCAGACAATTTTTCGAGTCCACCCTTTCTATCTTCAGCAGAATCACCCCCCCCCCCCCCACGATTGGTATAACAGAGAGACAATGTCTGATAATTGGGTGTGTTAATTTATTATAATTGTAATACCAACCAGTTTTATGGTTAGTTAGTAGTTTAGTTAGGATTAAGCATATGCCATTTGGTAGGACTGCTAGAGTTGAGGTAAGGACACAGTTAACTACCAGTGAGTAATCCAGAACTAACCTATTATTAATTAATAATTAAACTGTCCCAAGCCTCATCAATTCTTAAGTTCTTAACTAAATCTTAACACACTTATTTTTTTAATATTGAATAGTCAGCACTTGTCAACAGTGGCTAACACAATCAGACTAACTTGCCCCCCCCCCCTTTTTTTTTTTATAAAAAAAAAATGTATTGAACAGTATTCAGTATTCACTATTCATTCAGTATTGTTAGGCCCCTATCAGTTAGTAATTATGGGACACTTTTATTAGAAACCCCCCCCCCCCTCCTAAAAGTATTTTATTAGCCTAATAAATTAATTAACAGGGTCTACTACAGTGTAACTACAGTCATTCATTGTCACAGATCTAGTCTAGATCTAGATCTAGATCTCTAGATCTAGCTTGACTAGTGGCACACACACTGGTGACTGGCACACACGTCTCAAGGAAGAAACGAAGAGGGCGTTGTCTTCTAACTTCTTACCAAAACAAAAACTTCAGAGTTGGCCCAGCAAACTGAGACAACTTTGGTGCCTTAATATCTTTTTGTACAGTCTGAGGTTCGTGAGAAAACGCAAAGTCTTTGTAGTAAGTTACTAGTAACACACCAACACAGACTGCGAAAAACGGTAGGCCATTTGGGACGGCCATTTTTCAAAGTGCCAGATTTTTTGTAACGTGAATGCCAGACGAGAAAATCATGTGCAATCCGTATGCATGCCAAATGTTCGAAAGGTTTTAAATAAGAATAAAATACACATCAATTTTAATGAATTTGGTAAAATGTTAAATATGTATTGCTTTTTAATATCTAATTAGACTAGATGTGTTATTTTATACTAAATTTTTAGTTAAATATATAAAAGTAAAGGTTTTAAAAAACCAACAAAAATAGTAATAGGTTTATCTAGGCCTTGGTGATATCTATTCTAGATTTAGATACATATTTATTTTCTTACCCTGACGTGTCGAACTTACGATGGTTCTTTGATCTTTCAGCAGGTTAAAGTTTATGTTGTGTCACATTTCCTTTCGTTTAGAGTTTAAGGTAAAGATTTTGTTATGCTTATTCAAATCAAAGTGTACTGTAATTAATTTTGAATATTTAAGAAACTTTATTTTAATACTTTTATTTCTCAATTAGCAACTAGATTTGTAGATCTAGATCTAGATGCGGATTTAAGAAAAATGACGCTACAAGAGTCAAAAATAGAGATTCATCACACACAGGTGAGTTAGTTAATATTAGTTATAGATCTAGATCTAGATCTAGTTGTAGACATCGAATTGTACTAGATCTAGATCTAGGTCTACAATGTGAATTTGTCAATAAGGCTAAGGGGGCTTCTTGCTACATTATATATATATATATATATATATATATATATATATATATATATATATATATTATACATAGTAAGTCCCAATATGGTAGTCTTGTCTGAATCCTTTAACAATATATTTATAATATATTAAAAAATTAAGGCTGTATTTTAATGCCACATGTATTCAAATTGTTGTTTTAGCTTTTTATCAACAATGGGTTTGTAAATTCTATAAAAAGTGCTGTGATACCAGTTATCAACCCATCCAATGAAGAGGTCATTTGTGAAATTCAAGCTGCAGACAAGGTATTTAAATTTAAAAATTACTTTAGTTTCATATAATCATGAACAAGAGCTGGATGAATAAGTTGACAGAATTGGCTTGCACAGTTGATCCTTTAATATAAAATAAGACAGTCCTTATTTCTATTCTAATGATATGCAATACCAAATTTATTTAATGGTTTGTATGTACCCAGCTAACACAGTATGTAATACCAGGGTCGGCCCAAGCTTGGCCCAATGTTGTAATCATGGCCAAACATTGGACAAGCTTAAGCCAGGGTACAGCCAAGATTTGTACATGCTTGCATCCCTTGATACCTTGATATTTAATCGTTTTTACCTTGGCTGCCAAGATTACACTGATTTATGTATTCACTGCAGAAATGTTAGTTAAATATGCTTGTTAAACTTAATATATGTTAACTAAAATTAATTTATCTTTTAATATCATGCTCTAATGTAAACATAGCATCAATAACAGACTACGTTGCATGTGTTAAACATTTTGTTAATCTTTTTAAAATTGTGTGCGCTACTGCCACCGGCCCCCTGTCGCCCATTGTCCCTTTGTTCACATTCCTTCCTATTGTTCGCAAGCCAGCATCCCGGTGCTTCGCCATTTTTCTTAACAAAAGACTTTGTATCCAGTCACAGTAAAACAGGTAGGCCCACTGTAGCCATTTTAGTTCAACAGTGAGAAGTAGTATAACTGTATTTATGCAGAATCTGGAAAACTCGTATTTTTTTGTTGGAAACTTTAACTTTATGGGCCTAAGCCCTAAGTCATCAAATAAAAGTTATAAAAGGTAGTTTATTTGAGGTAATAAAATGAGCTTAGATCTAGATCTAGTCTAGATCTATATATTAATAATACTAGAGTCTATATTCTGTTTATTTTGGCATTAGGCTAGATCTAGATCTAGATTCTAATAATACTAAATAACTAAAAATCGTAATCAGAGGGCGGTTAATTTTGACAGCACTTTTTTGTATTGAAAAGTATGCAAGTACGTTTGGGGTTATATTGATTATTGATAGATCGATGTATTTATTGGTTTTCAACTTTAGGTATAATTATCACGCACAGGGGAAAGGGGGGGGGGGGGGGATAAATGTTTATAAATTAATAAATAATCATTCACTTTAACTTTAAAAAAAAAAATAATTTTATTGTTCTAGGCCTATTTGTGTAAGGATTTGAAACTGTCTTTAATAATTAATTCAGAGAGAGAGAGAGAGAGGAACAGTAGACACAATTATAGAACCAATTTCTACATGTTAAACAAACAGTGTATTTTGATAGGTATTAATTTTGAAAAATATTAGTCAACTAGAATTCTAAATTGATTCAAGATTGTCATTCAAATTTCTATTACTGTTACAGCTCCCTATGGGAGAATAAGATGTCATCATCATCACTCCTTTGTGGCCCCTGGGGAGCAAAGGGCTGCAACCACACATCTCCAGCGGACTTGGTTTTGGGCTGCTCCTCTAATCTGTGCTCATGAGAGCTCAGCTGTTTTTGCCTCCTCCTCAACCGTTCTCTTCCATGTTTTTCTTGGCCGGCCCACCCTCCTTTTTCCCTGGGGATTCCAGTCTAATGCATGTTTTGATGAATAAGATGTAAGTTGTGTAAATAGTAGTGTGGAGACCTCAGAGCAACACTTAATTTCATGACCAACAGCGATAAGATGGTACTATTAGTAAGCCATACTTAATGATCAACACTACTCATATTATCATATAGAGGACAGAGTAGGCAAATGGTTGAGGACACTATTGCTAAACATAAAGCCAAGTTAGTAGTACATTCATCAGTTCACCTAAGTCTGATATATACCCAATTTAAGACTATGAAATAAAAAAGGTGGCTAGATATAGTGTTGACTACACAAATCCTTTATATACAGAGATCAAATAAACAGAGATACTTACAAATTAGTATCTAATCTGGCTATCATTTATTGTATCACTCACTCATTTTATTATTATATTTAATAACTAAGAATGCCATTTATTTTCAGGCCTCCAGGTGTTGTGTATATCAATCAGCCCACTGGAGATATATCAATCTTTTAATAAATTATAAGGTCCCCACTGCTTGATACTTCACCAAATACTGGCTACACCAGAAAATGACTAAATGTTCTTAACACTTAACAACTGTAAGTTTACATTGTTTCAAAGTGAATAATAATTTTCATTTAGTAATTTTTGCTTGCATGTAATGATCAGCATGTGTAGTTAATGCCTTTACTGATATTAGTAAAATAATTTCAGACCACAAGCATTACTTCTGGGTCACTCTGAAGGGTCTAATCGTTCAATTACTGAATTGATAAAGTTGATGAAATTGCTCAAAAGTTTTCTGGCACCTTCTTAACTCAGAGACATAGGGTAAGGGGTTTATAATATTTATATACATACTATTATTATTTTTATTACCAGGTCTTTTTTTTCACTTTTGTTTATAATATATATATATATATATATATATATATATATATATATATATATATATATATATATATATATATATATATATATATATATATATATATGCAGTATAAGTGTTACCTGGGTAGCATGAACACCCCAGACCACCAGTCTTTATACCTATATAATATATCGTTACAAGGTAGCAAACATGATGTTAGGGGCTTCTTGTTGTATGTTCAGTGCAGTGCAAAATAAAATAAACATAATAAATTTAGTGCAAAATGAGCAGTGTATGGTTGTAATTATTTCATAAATGACTTTTAGTGTGTAACTTTTCTTTTTTAGAATGTGGATGGATTATGACATACCTTGCACAAATCAACAACCAGGCTTTTATTGGATTTGAATCCCAAAGGAAAGAGAAAGTTTGTTATCCAAAACAAACATGGAAAATATCAGAAACCAACAAAACACAAGCAGGCAGAGTGTTATGGACCCAACTTTGGGGAATCTCCTAAAACCAAGTATAAAAATAGAGGTGTGGTTGTGTCTCTAAGCTCCACAAGGGTCCACAAGAATGAGGACAACAGTAATTTTCGTAATAATTTTAGATCAGATTTTTAAAAAAAAATTTGATCAGATGGATCAGGTTAACAGTTTAATACATATTGCATTTAAGTGCTTAACGAAAAGAAAAGATGCTCTTACCAAAATAGTCTAAGAACAATGCTGATTTTAAATTAATAAATTGTTTCCTTTTGTAATAATATAATAATTTAAGTTGGCATTGTATGTATGTTTAGTGTAGATTTAATGCCCTAAATGAAATATACAATTGACATTTTTTTCTTTAAAGAATTAGTTGCAAATTTCTTTCATTATTTAGTTTCACTGTACAATCTGAAAAAAGCTTGCAACATTTGTATTGACAATACTTCTGCTGGTGATATTTATTTCTAATTAATGAAGTAAATTAATATATATTCAGTTTACTATAATTAAATACCTCACTCGAGACAAAAAAACATTTATTGAATATCGCAGTGATATTCCTGTTCTACACAATGCGTATAAACCCTCGAACCATCTGTCTTTTGAAAGATTGTACATTTTGTATAGACAATGGCATTCATTTCAACACTATTTAACCACAATTATAATCTAGAGATCCTGAACATATTTTCGTTCTGTTATTTATGGACAAGGCAGACTGGTCCAGCATTAAAATGTAAACCTTAATTAGAATACTTAAACGAGCTATGCAATTAAATGTTGTTAGACAAATATTTTATACTTTTTATTTTTAATGTTATGTTTACGTATCATAGTACAAGACAGCTTCTGTATTCTTGTACAGTAAATTAAGTTTTTACATTAGTTTAATTTAAACTGTAGTGCTTAACATCTGTTACATTATATGAAAATGTTTTGTATATTTGTTTTAATTTGTTTGTATAAAAGTCAAAATGAAAGTTACTACACTATTATTTACATATTCTTTTTCAATCAATACTTTATAGTATAGTTATAATTTTCTTACAATTGAATGGATGGTATAATACAGATTTTAATGGATGAGCAGTTTTTGTGTATGTATTGCTGCTTTACTACATTTTGATTAAAATTTCTTTCACATTTTGAAATTACCTTTGTAAATATTATGACTGATATGAGAATGGATCTTTTTGTATGCTAAAAATAAAAATTTGAGCCAAGATGTAGCCAGGATATAATACAGGCTGAGCCAAGGTATAGCCGAGATATAGCCATTATTGGGCCAAGATGTAGCCAGGATATAATACAGGATGAGCCAAGGTATAGCCAATATTGGGCCAAGATATAGCCATTATTGAGCCAAGATGTAGCCAATATTGGGCCAAGATGTAACCATGATATAGACAATATTGGGCCAAGATATAGCCAATATTGAGCCAAGATGTAGCCAATATTGGGCCAATATGTAGCCGGGATATAGCCAATGTTGGGCCAATATGTAGCCGGGATATAGCCAATATTTGGCCAAGATCTAGCCAATGTTGGGCCAATATGTAGCCGGGATATAGCCAATATTGTGCCAACATTGCGCCAACATCATGCCGAGTTTCACTACCAATGTTTCGCCAAGGTTAAGCCAATGTTGCACCAAGATGTAGCCAATATTGGTAACCAATGTTTAGCCAATATTGGGCCAATATATGTGTGCTGACTGGGTAATAGTCGATTAAAAAAAATTTATATTCTCAGGAGTTGTAGTCTATAGAAATATTATATGAGGCCTATGCTAAAACAAGTTTGAGGATGGGTAAAAATTAGATTCTGGTAAAGGTTTAACATCTGGGGCTATAAATGTATGTGAAACATTTTTTGTTCAGTCAATATGTCAGTTAAACTTTTATTCTATTGATCTTTATTTCCCTGATTATATTGTCTTTGTCTTACATGTTTGTTTAACAGGAGGATGTTGATTTGGCTGTTGCAGCTGCTAGAAATGCATTTAAAATTGGCTCACAGTGGAGAACTATGGATGCCTCTGAGCGTGGGCTACTCATTTCCAAATTTGTATCACTTCTTCAAAGAGATAAAGAGTATTTAGCTGTAAGATCTTTTTGAGCTACTCTGAGATTTTGATAATCAAATTAAATGGAAATTGTTTTATTTTATTTATTGTGATTGTCAAAAGGTCTAACAATTATTGTTTGTATTTTGTTTCCTAAGTTTGGTTCTGTGTCCATTAACACTGATTATCTGTAATGTCTGCCTTAAAATATAAAAATGTATTTTACTAAAATATTACTAAGATAAAAAGTTGATTTATCCCAATGCAAACAAGAGAAGCTTTTTAAATTTACATTTTGAATTTAGATTAAAACTATTTTCACTTCATCCATCTAATTAACCTATTTTGTCGACTAATTACGTTTATTTCCTTATAAATTACTTAAATAAGTAAAAAGCAACCATATTTAAACCTCTTTCTCCCCAGTCATTAGATGCTTTAGACAATGGGAAACCATATCTTAACGCCCTGGATGATGTCTCAGCCAGTATTAATCTGTTTAACTACTATGCTGGCTGGTGTGATAAGATTTGTGGAAAGACAATTCCTGTTGGTAAGAATTTATAAAGACAGAGCTCAGCTCTTCATAGACATGTTTCCTTTTCTGTACTATATAATTGAACTTTTCATTTTATTTTACTTTGTGAAAAAAAAACCCTTAAAAAATGTATTTTTTGAAAAATTGCTCAAAATGCTGTTAGACATTTTGACTTGTTTTAAATTACGTTACATGTAACCAATTTTATTTTTCCTTTTTAAAATATATAAAAATTATATTGCTTGGTATATTAGCCTAGATTATAGCTATTATAATTTGTTAATTGTTTCATGTAATATTAAAATATGTAATACAATGTTTACTTTTATACCATTGCAAAGATGGCAACTATTTCACATATACACGTCATGAACCTGTCGGAGTCTGTGGACAAATCATTCCTGTAAGTTTTTATATTTGATATTTGAACAAAATAAATATAATTGATGAAAAGAAGTTGCTTTAAATGTCAATGTAAACACAGCTTAGTGCATGAGCTCGAATAGCAAGATAAATACTGCTATTTTACCATCTGGCGCATTAACTTGTGGTTTTTATTTCTTTAAATTTCTGTCTATGCTGACAGTGGAACTACCCTCTTGCAATGCTTGCTTGGAAGCTTGGCCCAGCCTTAGCTTGTGGTAACACAGTTGTTTTAAAGCCGTCAGAGCTGACTCCTTTATCTGCTCTTTACTGTGCACGGTTATTTAAAGAGGTAAGCTCATTTATTTTCATGCAAGGTTTGTAAGTGATTCTGATTATTTTAAACCAATCTTGAAATAATATTTTCAATAAATGTTTTGCATTTTAAATTTTTTTATTAATTGCTTCTTGGTTAAGATTTATTTTACCATACAGATTTAATTTCAAGTTAAACTTTTAAAATGTTAGTATTAAAAAAAGTTAGAATTCTCTTATTTATTTTCACTTAGGCAGGTTTTCCACCAGGTGTGGTAAACATTGTTCCAGGATATGGCAACACTGCAGGTGAAGCCATCGCTCGTCACATGGATATTGATAAAGTGGCTTTCACTGGTTCAACAGAGGTACAATACAACTTTACCTAAATTACTCCTAAAATTTATCTCAGCATATGTCTATAAATATGTATGTATATGTTTTAAATGATACACCTACACAGACTGGAAGAAAGGTCATGACGGCAGCAGCACAAAGCAATTTGAAAAGAGTCAGCCTGGAGCTGGGAGGAAAAAGTCCTCTCATCATCTTTGCTGACTGTGATGGTATGTCAGGGTGTAGCAACACAATTTACAAAACATATTTGTACTCCTTATACTACTATACATTGATCGCAAGAAAATGTGTGTTTGTAGCCTACTAAACAAGTATCCTAATATTGTTTTAGCTCATTATATTTTAGATATAATAAAGGTAAATGAGAACCAATAAAAGGAAAAGGTTGTGAATGGTGTTAGAGATAAGTAATATAATATGTAAACAATTCTTCCGCTGTAGATTTAAAAAAAATTGTTTGGACATTTACCAAATAGAATAAAATTTAACAAAATTGCTTTTTTTAAGTTGATTTTGCAGTGTCATGTGCACATGAAGCCATTATGGGGAATCATGGCCAAAATTGTTGTGCAGCTTCACGAACATATGTACAAGAGAGCATCTATGAAGAGTTTGTACAGAAATCCAAGGAACTTGCAGAGAACAGAAAAGTTGGAAATCCCTTTGATTCAGCAACACAGCAAGGTCCACTGGTATGCAAGTTAAAAATTATATTTAAACCCATATATATTACTCTTACCTTTGGCAATGTGCCTGTCAGTTATAGGCTGAAAAAGAATAAAAGGATCAGTTAATAGAGCTAAGGGCACATGCTGCAAATTCAGTCAGATTACATCAGCAGGCAGACACTCACATGGAATCCACAAGATTACATCAGCAGGCAGACACATACACGGAACCCACAAATCTGGAGATAACTGGACAGATGGACCAAATAAGTAAACCCTTGATAGCTTCAGTCAATGGGCCATATCCCAATAGAAAGTTTCCCTTTCAAACCTGACGGTCTCTGTTTCTGTGATCTCGGCATTTGAAGAGATAGTGTGGTCAGCATTATGCCTAGCCGCCTTTACTTTCCCTAACGTGAGTTAGGTACCCATCAGAGTTGGGTGGACTCAGGGACGGTCTACTGACTTGAACCCGGATTCGAACTCAAGACTTACGGGTTAGCAGTCGAGCTCTCTACTGCTAGACCACTCCGTCCCATATCCCAATAGAAGTGATGGAAAATGATGTTTTTTTTTTTAATCCGTCACCAGAATCATTTACAATTCAAGTTTACTCTTAGGTAAAGCAAAATTGTGTGCAGGATAAGTATTTTTCATGTATTGAAGTTCATATAGTATTGACAGATATTAAATATGTGACTTTCATGTTTGTAGGTGAGCAAGGCACAGTTTGACAAAGTTCTGAGCTACATGAAGAAAGGGAAAGTTGAGGGTGCTAGGCTGGTAGCTGGTGGGGATCAAATAGGAACCAAAGGATTTTATGTTCAGCCAACTGTTTTTGCTGATGTGAAGGACGATATGAGCATTGCTGTTGATGAGGTTAGCCAGGGACATTTGTTAATGTTTCAGACTTGATGGAGTAGAGTTCATCTCTTTCTATTATCTCGGCATAAGTCTGGACCCATTCCCCATAAAATTACATCACATCTCAACCTACCAACCACCTTCAAAGCTTCATTTCATTAAAAAAAAACTCAATTTCTTCTAAAAACTATTTAGTGAGCAATCAACATTGAGTATATTGATAATTTTTAATGAAGTCTTTTTTTATACTTGCAGAATGGCTAAAATTCAGTTTTGAACATTACATTTTTAAATGCTAAATGTGTTGTCTACCCCCCCCCCCTTCCTCATCACACATAACACATTGTCACAAATGTCCTACCTCTCCCCTCCATGTTGTTTATGAACAACACCTAATGCCTAATGTAATTCACACAAATACACCTAACTTGTATCTAAGTTTCCAACTAAACAAAAATAACGACTAAAATTGTTACACTATTATTTTTCCAGATATTTGGGCCAGTCCAGAGTATTTTAAAGTTCACTGACATAGAAGAGGTGATTGAAAGAGCCAACAAGACTAACTATGGGCTTGCGGCAGGAGTTATAACTAATGATATCAACAAGGCATTTCAAATTTCACAGTCCATACAAGCTGGAAGTGTATGGTAAGGGCTAAATTGAAGGGCTCAGTGGAAAAAGTACTTAAGTTACATTTTTTTTAAAAATGAGTTAAGACCGGTATATTATTTGATTACCTACCCTTAACAATCCCTGTAAATTTGGGCCATGGAAAAAGTACCGAAGTAGCTTAATTCGAATACTTTGCATCAGCTGTTTTAGTATTTCAGCTTCAATTTAAAAACTTTGCACTCATTTTTCTCAAAACTCTCAAAATACACTTAAGTACTTTTTCCACTGAGCCCTTCAATTACAAAACCATGTTTTAACTTATAAAACACACAACTAAATACTAATCTACAGAAAATTTTTAGCTTACCAAACAAACACATTTTTAAAGCAGATCTTAGTAGCAATAGTTGAATATAACTGGCAGATCAAAAGCATTGTTTAAGTAATTGTGGAGGCTATTAGTTATTCTGTTAAAAATCATTAAAACCATACAGCTATTTAAAGTCTTTAAATTTTAAATATTTTTTAAATAGTATGTATTCAAACAGAATCAATAATTCAATCAGCTATGATGTTTTGTAAAAACACATTATGTGGTAAGATCACATAAAGTTTGGATATTTTATCCAGGGTTAACTGTTATGATGTTGTCACTTCACAAACACCTTTTGGTGGCTTCAAGCAGTCAGGCCAAGGCAGAGAACTGTGAGTTTTCTTTTTCATAATGTATTTAATTGAGTTATGGACCTTAACACACAAAAAACAGGAAATGGTAGCAAGTAAAATTGTGTTAATAATTTTTCTGTTTGATGACACATCAGGTATCACAACTGAAAAATTACATGGCTAAATATGTTCAGTAAACAGATTTTTAGAACATATTTAAAGATCAAAATGTGAGGTTTCATTAAACATGTTTCCAGAATCTAGGCTAAACAGATGCCAAAACTATTAGATAAATATGCAACTAAAAAAAGTTCTAATTCTAAACAAGTTCTAACTTTTTTTTTTTACAGTGGTGAATATGCCCTCCAGATGTACTCTGAGATAAAAACAGTCACCATACAGATTCCCCAGAAAAATTCATAGCCCAGTAGCCTACCCCACATAGCAGCAGGCATTAACCCTTATAGTATTCTACATTCCCTATCTACTTCAACAATGTTATCCACTTAAGTTGTTATTTAGAAAAGGCATTATCATTTATTATCATACAATTTAAAATACATTTCTGCATTACATTAAATGAAACTTGATTACATTATTGTTCCAGTACAAATGCCAAAGAAGGTTTTTGGTTTTCAAAATATCTCACCTGTATATGGTTACAACAAATCATGTTACTGATGCATTAAATGCTGATGCTGTTTTAAATGTGATGTGTTTTAATTAATGAGATTTTGTCTCTGCAATTATTATATTATAAGAGGTTTTTTATTTTTCTAATCTATAAAGTAATTTACATATGACTTATTAATATTATTATTTTATTTGTTTTCACTTTACACAAATGACATCTGTTGCTGTTGTATCTACAATCATTGTTTGAGGATTAGATTTATTGATTCATTGTTTGTTATTAAAATTTATATTCAGTTTTATATTACCCATGATTTAAGTACTTTTCATTTTTATCTTAAATTTTAAATTATATTGTCATGGAATATTAATGATTTTAAAATGTACAGTGATGCCCTTTAGAATCAATATACATTGATGCCCATGTAGAGTATACAGTGATGCCCTATAGAATCAATTTATTGAGTGAGCTTAATTCATGGCACTTTCAGTTTGTGTGGAGCTGAAAACAGGGGAACTGGGAGTAAGGAGGACAGAACAATTTTGATGAATGAAGCCAAAAACCTCCAGTTTGTTTTGTTTTATCATTCTTGTGTTGATAAAGATAACAGAGTAAAATGTGATTGTCTCATCAGTATTACAGCCATGTTAACTGAGTTGATGTTGTTATACTCACCACAATTAGCCCCTCCTCTTTCTTCTGAATCAAAAATGCTTTCATCACAGCCATGCAGCATATGTATCAGGTGTTGAACTTAACATCAGTGCACCCCTTTCCTCAGAGGAATGCATACGTGTATGGTTATGGTTCACTCATATCCTTTTCCAGTATTATTACTGTAATTATTAATTATTGTAACTTGAAACAGTAAAACAAACATTCGTAAGTGGTGTGCTTGTTTACATAATGTGTATGCATCTTGCACATCTAACCCCACCTATCTTACCTGGTATCACTACCTGTCTAGCATTAGTGCCAGCTTTGGGGATTTTCTACATCATTATCACTTTGTTTTTTTTCACACCATCTCGTAAATAGTAAAACTATTGTACATTTATGGGAAATGCTGTGTAGGATGAGCTGTCATACAGAACAGATTGTTTTTGTTCATTGAGTGACCACTGAAGTCACATGACCAAAGGTTATATAAATGATGTGTTGTTTTTCATTAAAAGACATATGTCACCATCTTACAATAGGTAATTTTAGATTAAATCACGATAATTTAAAAAAAAATAGCCTACCCTTATAGTTTTAGAGATAAAAAGTTATTACAAATACTAATAACTCTTGTAATCATTGTCAAAATCTATACACATCTGGTTACATGAAGGGGGGTAAATCTGACTTAAACTCTACAGTTAAAACAAGTAGGTTATGGGTCGTTTAAACTCTCTTACTAGTGGCAATAAACGTGGTATTGATAATCCACAAAATGTGATAAGGTACAGTAGGATCAATAACATCAAAAGTTGGAGCCATGTACTGCACCAAGGGGACAGCATCAGTGGGGTGTCACTAAAGTGAAAAATATCCAACGTTAATTGGAAAATCTACTTTATGTAATTTTAATTTCACAATGTTAAACATAGAGGCTTTTATACATGGTGACACCATCCAGGACGGAGTGTCACCATCCAGGATGAGGTGTCACCAACTTGCCTATGTTTTACATCGTTTGAGGAGGAGAGGGGTGGGGATAAATTCCGAGTTACCTACCTCGTAACTGATCTGGGTTTTTTCACACCAGTAGCACCTAAAGAATGAGGGTAGCACTGGGGCAGTGTTTCTTCGACTTTTTTTCTCCGGGGGTGCACTTGAAATTTTCGGGGGGGGGGGGCGTGCCCCCCGAAGAGATGCCTGGAAGAAACTCTGCACTGGGGCCAGGGTCGGGAATGTGCTTACGACAGGGTTAGGGTTGCGATACCAGCAATAAAAAATATCCTTTATACGCCCTAGCTAACACGTACGTATCTCCTATTACCATTTAGTAGGCGCACATAACTATGATTTTTCTGTTTACACCTTACTAAATATCCTTCCCCCTGCTCCACACACAAAAGCACAGATAAGATTACTACTAAACACGTTGCTTTAAAAAAATGATCAGCTCCGTATTCATTCAACCGCGTCTACATCATTTTCTTAAAAGTGATCCTATGTTTAGCTTTATAGTCGATATAACTATCCAGACAAATTATGCTGAAAGTGCTTTTTCTCTTTCGCCAACCGCTGTTGTAACCAAGTAAAGAGGATTAACTCTAACCTAAAATTGTTTTCTTTATGAGCTAATTAACTCTCAACAGTTTTCGCCCCTTATTTCCCTTTCTCAATCTGAACATCTACCAATGTTAACAATTGACAATATTCCTAATTCTAATAAAACACTAGGCATTTATGTGCAGCATATGCGTTTGTATTGTACACTTTAAAAGGTGTAATGGAACACAATAAAATCGTAGATCGCAAGAAAATGTGTCTGTAGCCTACTAAACAACGATCATAATATCGTTTCCGCTAATTATAGACACCATTTTCCCTAATACAGATAACTCCGGCACAATATAGATAACTCCTGCAGAGCTACGCGTCCTTGGCTGGTTAAAGTGCGTTCCTGTTTACCAGCTGCTAATTTAAAAAATTGAACGTAAATACACTTGTTATTTGTAAATATAGTCCGCATCTGTTGCCAGTATGTATGGAGAGTACACTGGACAGGGAGAAGGGAAACACACTTGTGAGCAAAGGCGTAGGCAGGGTGGGTGCTGGAGAGGGGGGGGGGGTCAGCCTCCATCACGGAGCTCCTGGGACACACGTATACATATATAGGCCTATATATGATGAAAACTAATTTTTTAACACCTACACCCTATAACAATATACTGCAACGTAGTGGAGATCCGTGTAGTACCGTTAGATATAACACGATGATCAAGAATACAGCGTCAAACACCTACTGTTAGAATGTAAATATTGTGTGTTCGTGTGTACAGTGAGAGCTCCAGGGCTTGTAGCGAAGACACTGGTACAATAATAAACTCTAAACGTACGTGCTTAACCCATGGCGGGCTAAGCTTGTAGGGACCATGGCAAAATGTATCCTGAGGGCGATGTGACATTTAGGTATTTCGTGACGATTTTATACTTGTTACAATATCGTTATTTAAAACAAACATACTTAGGCCCCAAAAATCTGGCCACCTGACTGCAGTCTGCCCCAACCTTCCCCTAAAACCCGCCACTGATATAAACAGGCACTTATTTTTTTTTTTTTTTTAAATAACATTATGTTATCACGACCCAATGTTTTAGCCAAATGAAATAAAAGCAGATAGGCCAAAATAACATTTATTAGATTCTGCAATCTTTTTGAAGTAGATGTGAAGTGTTAATGTGCTGCTTTGGCTAGAAACAGTTTAACACGAACTTTGTAAAACTTTATATTGAACAAACAAACAAACAAGGTTTCTCTATTAAGGCTGTTGTGGTGTTGTGTATTTACAACAAATAGCATCAATTTAAAAAAAAAACATCCGGTAAACCAAAACACATTGAACCGTGTCCAGATGTTTGGTCAAGATGTGTACATAGCTGGAGTTGCTCAAGCATAACGTGAATCTCAGTGATCTGAGCAACGAATCACACAAAGTACGCCATTCCTACACACAAGCCTATCTAAATATTTAAACTGACTAAAAACTCGAATCACCCAGCATGATTTTTCACCCTCTACCTGTCTGATCAAGACTTGCTGTTGAAGAGAACCTGATAATAAACAGAGACTATCACAAGTTAACTCATGTTTATCACGACAATAATTGAATTACAATATCTCTGCTTCACCTTCCTTTAGTGTGAGCAAATGTGTGTTGAACAGAGGCGTAGCGACCCTTCCCGGCGCCCGGGGAGATTCGATTTGCACCCCCTCCTCAAGATTTCGATTTGCACCCCCCCCCCCTCAAAATTTCTATTTGCACCCCCCCCCCCCCTCAAACTTTCAATTTGCACCCCCCTCAACCTTTCAATTTATTTTTCCAACCCATTTTGGCGCCCCCTAAGGTCGGCGCCCGGGGACATATGTCCGTCCCTCCCCCGCCCCCCCCCCTCACTACGCTACTGGTATTGAATGCTACACTATGTGTTTGATGGCGTTACTTAAATGTGAAGGTTTGTAAAATAAAAATACATCATCGCTTAAAGATATTCGGATTGTTTTTAAAATATGTATTGTATTTTGAACACACCTTCAACAATATTATCAAACACTAAACAAAAACACACCCGATAGAAAAATAAACAAACTAAAAGTGCTAGGTCGTTGACCTTCACGTTAGCTTAGCTTTTGACTTTTGGTTATCTAGATATGCGGATTTCTTTTTCTCCCTCTCTAAACAAACGAGCGGGTAGCGTAGTGATAGGAGTGATAGAAACGAGAGATTTTTAAAGATAAACACACAAGTTCTTCTAGTTCGGGTGTCTTCTTTCACGTATATCTGCAAGATGGTGTGTATATGTGTTTGTGAGAATGAAGGCGTATGTGTGTGATAGATGTGTTACTTAACAAGTATGGTTGGGGTGAGGCACATTTTGTTTAAATTAGACAAACACAAGTAAGAGTCGAACTCTTCTCAAACAAATTCTCACAACATTGTATTGACGTTAGCAGTTAGTTAATTATTCATTTATATATATACATACATATATATATATATATATATATATATATATATATATATATATATATATATATATATATATATATATATATATATATATATACATGGGGTGTATGTCTATTAACAACATACGAGATGTGTTGAAACAGCAAAAGCACTGCCCAAGGCCTAACTAGTGCCAACGTGTCTCATTAAGCTATCTGCTATCATTTAACCATCGTTAGAAAAATGTAAACGTTGCATTTTTTTCTCCGTTTTTTTAAGCCTGCTGGCTAATGCTTATCTGTCAACATTCCACCAACCGGTACCTTGTAGCAAGCGAGAACCTTGACCTCTACCCTCTACATATCTTATCGCAAGGGTCTCCACATTTTAGACATTTAGAACTAAGTTCATTTAGATTTTAGAATTTCATGCTTACGTATATATATATATATATATATATATATATATATATATATATATATATATATATATATATATATATATATATATATATATATAGTGGGAAAATATCTTTGTTGTGACCTTTTCAAAGCTCAGCAAACTCACATTTCATTGTTTTCAATCCATTCACCCTCATCCCAATGGCATACACGGAGGGGGAGGGGGGGGGGGGGTTGTTCGGGCTAAAGGGTTGAAATCCCGTCTCATCAAGATCGACCATCAAAATAAAATGATAGAACATTGTTACATATATTATACGATTCTTTTTTTTTAAACCATGACAAAAACCTGCTTACGCAACTACATCAGCCCACCTACCAAAAATGTATTCTGACGCCTCTGCTCGCCAAATTGATAAAAACAAATTTAGAACTCTCGACCCTTCCCTCCACGCGAAATTTTACAACCAGGATATAAACAGGAGATGTTTTTATTTCACACAAGCCTCAAGCCAGCCATTTACTATCCACAGCCACGGGAGATAACTGAACGAAGAGGGAGGTAAGCGGCTTTTTTTTTGTTACTTTCACTATAGCCTAGAAACGGTAATTATTTTTTAGCATTGTTCATTGTAAAGAATTGGGTGGTTTAAACAAAAAGTTTTATATCTTAAAGACAGAATTAAATTTTACTTTTGAAAAAGATAGGGTTTTTTTTTCATTTGAAAGTTTGTAAATACATTTTTAAAAAAGTATTTTGGCTGTACAGTTTAGTATTAGAGTTCATATTTGTGGTTGTGTTGATTGTTTTCTATAACAATAGAGTGCATGGCCAGTAGCATCACATTTTATATGGCCAGTAAAATCACATTTTGCATGGCCAGTAAAATCACATTTTGTATGGCCAGTAACATCACATTTTGCATGACCATCAAATTTAGATGAGTGTCTGGATTTCAATTCTGCCCTAGCTGGCGTTAGACTATGTTGGGTCCACAATAGGACTGAGTGAAAGATACCAGCAATTCACGATTAGTCAAATTAACAAGTGTTTAGTGATAACCAGCTACCTGCTTGTATCGCGCTATAAAGAGGGACTAGTTCTGACCTTAGTGCACTGAGAGTTTTTAAAAAAAAAAGTTATAAATCTCCTGTTCAAACAAAAAGAAATGTTTTATTGTTTACATAATGGTTCATAGTTCAACTTGGAAATGTCAACAGCGAGCCGCTTTCGGGGTCATGTATCATAGGCGGTCTTATGGTCGGGGGTGGATTCAATAAGATATACAGACGTATACCCCACCCCCACTCGAGGGTCCAAACAAATATGCCCTAATTCAGCCCTAAGTCCTCTCCGTGCTATAACTAATGCTTTTGTAAATTGTTCTGCTATGTTTTATCAGGACCCACAGCCTTGAACTTTGAACTGGTGTATCACCAATTTTTTTTATTTATTTATTGGAGAGTGAGTTTTCGTCTTGTAACAGAGAATCTTCATGAAATCTCGATTCTCAGACCTCGGCATATGAAGAGGTAGTGTGATCAGTACAATGCGCAGCCGCGTTTACTTTTCCCTGCCAGAGGCGTTGGACCCATTATGGCGCCCGGGGCGAAAATCCCCACCCGCCCCCTAGTTACGCCTCTGCTCCCTATTTAATTAAATAAATTTAATTAAACATTAGAAATGGATTTATTCATGGATCTAAATCGAACTCAAAATCTACGTGTTAGTACCTAAGCGCTCTATTGTTGGACATCGCCAACCAAGTGGCTTAAGAAATGTGACTGTTATTATGCAAATGATACGTTCTTTTAACAGACTAACTTTGATTTTAAGCGTATAAACTATTTATTTATGACCCTCTTCCTACTGCACACTCTAGCCTTCCTTCCACTTCCTTACCCCCCCCCCCCCCCAATCATACCAACTACCATTTTCACCCACCCACCACCAAACTTCCCCAACTTATACCCCCCCACCCCGCCCATATTTGTTATCTCTCACAATAAGTTTATGAGAGCTGCCTTTGCAAATAAAAGCAAGGGCACTTACGCTTTATACATACAGTTGTAAGTTTATCCAAGATAATAATTCTTTCTCCCCCCCCCCTTCCAACCCCTTCCCCCCCCCCCCCCCCCCCCCCCCAGCTATGAAACTTTCAAGAACTTAACTATAACCATTCTATAGCCTATTTCACTTCTGCCTGTGAGAATATACGAACACTCAACAGCTTGTTAAATTTTTTAAGCTGCAAGAACCTTCTCCTAGGTGTAATCTAAGGTTGCATTACTTCAACGCTCTGCTTTATCCTGCTTCACTGTATGATAAGGCTTCACATAAGTTTGTGTTTATTTACAGAAGAACTGAACACCATATTGTAAGAAGTGAGCTGAGTTCCATTTTCTAACCATGTCTGCCGGCATTAAGATTCATCAGACACAGGTAAAACATTCTTAATTTTTTATCATCCCCTATAGACAATGTGGATCGGTTGGAGTAGTGATGGAAGGGGAGGGGGCTGGGGGGTGTGATGAGATAATTATTTTTTGTTCCGGTACAGTAATTTAATAAAACTTATTTTTCTTATTTGAATACAAGCTTCACAAATATGTAGGCTCAAATCTGACTATGCCAGATTTTTTTTAGGGCCGACTGAAAGAGAACCTGCCTGCTAGTATTTATCTGTGAGGTTGCTTTGTTTTTTAAAGCTAGGGCAGTAGATTTATTTTCGTTGAAGAATGTAGATCTAGAATTTTTAATGTTGGTCCTACGCCATAGAGCAGGGGTCTCCAAACTTTTAAGTCCGAGGGCCGCATTAACTATCACATTTCAGTTCGGGGGCCAGTTTCTTCCAGGCATGTCTTTGATTTTTCTGGGCAAAGTTCCTCAGCCATCACCAACAAACGTTTTTTCCGTGGACAAAAAGATCTCCGCGGGCCGCATGAGAGGACCTCGCGGGCCGCATCCGGCCCGCGGGCCGTAGTTTGGAGACCCCTGCCATAGAGGAACAAGATAAATGCCTTATTTCAGCCGCTAACTGCAGCCTAATGTTGTATTACGCGCTAACTAGAGTAACTTGGTGCGGTTCGGTTAACTACTAGAACTAGATCTAGGTATTTAAAAACACTGGTGACATTTTTTAAAGACACCAAACATTCATGTTTGCTACAAGTACACAAGAGAGATATTTAATATTATTTAGGTATAATAATGTTCTAACTTAAAACTTCAAAGTTGAACATTTCGGCCTATCTAAACCACTTAATATACAATTATAAATGACACTACTTCTATTCAATATATCGTCAACCCCTTTTAAATTTTAAATACATGGATTTAATTTAATCAGACCACAATGTAAGAAAGTCTGGTATTCTGATCGCTGAGTCTAATTATTATATTAATAATTATTACTTTTTTTGTATTAATAAATTCTTGTCTGTGCATACTAATATTTAGAACATCAAGCATGGAAAATACATTTTCAAAATTGTACTTTATTTCAGCTTTTCATCAACAATGAATTTGTTAACTCAGTTAACAAAAAAACAATACCAGTTTTAAACCCTGCCACTGAAGAGGTCCTTTGTGATATTCAAGCTGCTGAAAAAGTTTGTCAAATACTTTGCTAATGATTATACATTAAACTTAAAAGTCTATTCCCATAATTTATTACCAAAAAACATATTTGGCCTCTAAGTTATAACCCTATAATGATTTAAATCCATGAATGAACACTTATTTCCACCAGGAAGATGTTGATCTGGCAGTGGCTGCAGCAAGAAAAGCCTTCAAGCTTGGCTCCCCATGGAGAACAATGGATGCTTCCAAAAGAGGTCAACTTATTGCAAAGTTCGCTTCTTTGCTTCAAAGAGATTTTGAATACTTGGCAGTACGTGCCATATTTTGTTTATGTTTTTGTAACTTGTTATATATTTAAGAAATAAAATCATATTAATTAACCATACCCACCTTTTTAAAAATGTCAGTAATGACTTTATAATGCTGAAAAATTATTGTTAGGCTTATAGTATAGATAGGTAAGTAGTTGGTTTAGGGAAGTTGGGTCTGTAGTAGGTTAAGGGTAATGTCTAATGTTAAATTTGGTGTTTAGGCTTGGTGTTTGGCTTGAGCTAGACATAGTGTTATTTTAAAATTTAGATCAGTGTTTGGTTTAGAACTAGGTTTAGTTTTAAGCTTTTCATTTATTTTTTAAAAACTTTTTAAACAAATTGCTCTAGTCACTGGAGTCTCTTGATAATGGAAAGCCCCGCAGTGAAGCTGTTGTTGATGTTTCCATGACAATTGACCTATATCAGTACTACGCAGGATGGTGTGATAAAATTTGTGGGAAGACAATTCCAGTTGGTTGGTATTATTTTTAAAGTTGTGTAGCATTATATTAAAAGAACATTCTATTAGCTTTGTAATTTTTTTTATAAAAATTATGAAAGAAACAACAATTTTAGTAATGTTTAATCTCGTTGATTCTCAAACCTTCTTGTATAAACATTCGTATCTAATTTTTTCCCCTAGATGGAAATTTTTTCACCTACACACGTCATGAACCTATTGGTGTTTGTGGTGGGATTATTCCTGTGAGTATCTTAAACTCACTAATTTTATAAAGGGCAGTAACTCTGCTTAGGCTTATTAAAACAAAACATTCAATTCATTCACTACAAATTTACATAAATATTTATGTTTATTACCAATGAAATTACCCCTTGTTAATAATGGGGTAAAGAAAATATTAAATTTTAATTTTAAGTGAAATAACCCCATTGTTAATGATGGTCTAATAAAATTAGTTTATATTCATTTCCAGTGGAATTACCCCTTGTTAATGATGGCATGGAAAGTTGGCCCAGCTATTGCTTGTGGTAACACCTGTGTTCTCAAGCCTTCTGAGTTAACGCCCCTGTCTGCCCTTTACTGTGCCCAGCTATTTAAGGAAGTAAGTCATAATTGTGGCAGTTTTTGTTTATGTGGTGTATTACTTTCTCAAAGTATATATATATATATAAACAAATATATATATATATATATATATATATATATATATATATATATGTATATATATATATATGTATATATATATATATGTATATATATATATGTATATATATATATATATATATATATATATATATATATATATATATATATATATATATATATATATATATATATATATATATATATATATATATATATATGAGGATCATTCCCTCATTCTACTCTTCTTCATGAGAAATTATATTTTATAACACAGACTGTTAATAAGAAAATACTTTGATAAAACACCCTAATGTTTTTGATTACTAATGGGATACAAGATGTTTGTAATTACTTATCTTATAGACTATATTTATTGACAAATCATAATTGAACAAAGTCTTCCTTCAATTGTTCGTAGAGTAACCTCTTGAGAAAAATGTTCCTAGCCTTGTGATGGTGGATAACATTTTTGTTTAATTTCTGTCAGGCTGGATTCCCCCCAGGTGTTTTGAACATTGTCCCAGGCTATGGGGACACAGCGGGGTCAGCCATCACTCATCACATGGACATCGACAAAGTAGCATTTACTGGATCTACTGAAGTAAGTAGGGGGGAGTGATCAGCATTTACTGGATCTACTGAAGTAAGTTGGGGGAGTAATACAGTAGCATTTATTGGATCTACTAAAGTAAGTTGCGCTGTTGTAATACAGTAGCATTTATCAGATTTACTGAAGTAAGATCTATGGGCTGGGCATAAATCAGTGACATAAGATTATTTTGTTTATTATGTGGATATTTTTATTTAGACCTTGTGATCCTGTAGGCAAGAGGAGTAGAGTTCATCTATTTTACAACAAAGATTTAAGGAAATTTTATATCACAATGTTCAGCTACATTTGTTCCTTGAACTTAAGTCAAGTACCACATTACAGCTGGATGGTCTCAAGGGCACATAAAGGTCTAGACAAAAATGTCATTCTTTAGATTGATAAAATTTGGGATCATTTTTTTTAAATTAAGTACTATGTATATTGTTCGAATAGGATAAAAGAGATTGTGTAAATGATAGATTTATTCTATGTATCTTGTAGACAGGAAGAAAGGTGATGACAGCAGCTGCCCAAAGTAATTTAAAGAGAGTTAGTTTGGAGCTAGGTGGGAAGAGCCCACTGATAGTCTTTGCTGATTGTGACAGTAAGGGAAATAACCATGTTTTAAAAAAAACAGTTATTGTTCATAACTTTTTATTTTATTTATTTAATTTTTTCACCATCTTTTTAAGAAATTATTAAATGCTTTGTTTAACAAAAAATTTTACCTTAGAGACTTCACAAATGTAAAAAATATCAATAACATAAAACATGAATGTTCTTGAAATATGTTTACTTATATTTTTAAATGAAAAGATATTAGTTTTAAAAAAATAAGATGATAGGATTAAACAAATTATAATGTAAACAATTCATTGCAAACTAATTACGATGTTCATAGTAACAACAGTAGATATTTTTATAAATATAAATACCATTAAATAAAAGAAGGAAAATATTTTAAAATAAAAATTGTGAAATAATTATTCTTTTCAGTTGATTTTGCCACCAAAGTTGCCCAGGGTGCAATCATGACCAATGATGGCCAGAACTGTGTCGCTGGATCCAGGACATTTGTGCAGGACACCATCTACGATGAGTTTGTAAAGAGGACCAAAGAGCTTGCCAACAGTAGGATAGTTGGCGATCCTTTTGATTCAGCCACACAAAATGGTCCACTTGTGAGTGATACACTACTGAAAACAAATGTCAATTTATTTTGGGGGTCATCCATTTATGACGTCCACACGCGGGGGGGGGGGGGGGGGGGGGGGGGTCCAATAAAAATGGACTTTTGTGGACGCATATGCACTTTTATAAGGCAAAAAAGTGGATTTTTGTGGTGGGGGGGGGGGGTCCAAAATCCAAAAAAATTGTGGACCTCATAAATGGATGACCCCTTGGGCCCTTTATAGATGTCAATATTTTAGGGACATGTAGAGTATTCGCCCTTTTGTCTTAAGGAAAGATGAATTTATAGAACAAGAAACAATTAAAAAAAACAGGACAAATATGTAAAAAAAAAACAGAAAAATGTATTGCTTGCTAACAAAATAGCAGCTATGAATTATACAAAAATAATTAAATAGAGTTAATCATAACATAAAACTATAAAAAAAAAATATTGCAAACCTCTGAAAATAAATAGACACAGAATTCTTTCCTGAATTTTCCTCACACAACAGTAGAGTCGCATCTCATACACCACACCTAAGACTCAACCAACTGAACTCACAAATAGGCAATATATAGCTCTTTCTCACTTACAAAAACAGCATTGACAACTATAACAGCAGAAGGGGATGCAACCAGTATAGTCTTGATGTATCACTGCAGTCATTGCTATCCCTGATCAGTATCAGAAGTTATCATCCTTATTCTGAAATATAGTGACAATTATGCTATTATTTTTCTTAAAAGTTACAGTTATGTTAATTAATTTAACAATTCTATTAATATAGAAAGTGAAACAAAAAAATTAATTTACTGTATTGAATGCTATTTTTAACAAAATTTGTTTTCCTCTAAAATTGCTAACACGGTTTTAAAAAAATATTTCTAGATAAGCAAAGGTCAGTTTGAGAAGGTTTTGAACTTCATGAAGAAAGGCCAGGAAGAAGGAGCTAAACTTATTGCTGGCGGTGATCGTATTGGCACCAAAGGCTTCTACGTCCAGCCTACAGTTTTTGCTGATGTGACTGACAACATGAGCATTGCCACGGATGAGGTGGGTACAAATAATTGCTTACGTTTTCCAGAGGAAACAATTCATGATGTTTCTCTCTAGCTGGGATGTCAAATTAGTGGTCACATCCTGTGTGTTGAGCAGTCATTTTCCACCTGTCTTGAGATTTCTAATCCAGTGCATGTTTGGTGATGTAGGTGTGATGTCCAGCCTCATCACCTCTTGCTAATTTCCACTTTAGCCAGTACTTGGTCAAAGGATATTTTTGCTACCGGTAACCAGACAGAAAAAATGTTGAATCCCTCTGAGGAGGAGAAGATTGATAATTTTTTACTGGTTAAATTTGTAAAAATAAATTAATACAGTATATGTAGGCCATATGAAAATGGATACAATGAAACTATTTTTACAAATGTTTTCTTCTAACAAGATATTCGGACCAGTACAAAGCATAATTAAGTTTAGTGACCCTGAGGAAGTGATTGAGCGAGCCAATAAGAGCAAATATGGGCTCGCTGCGGGCGTCCTCACCAATGACATCAACAAAGCCTTCAAGATTTCTCAATCACTACAAGCTGGAAGTGTTTGGTTAGTACTGCTTTTAAAAAACTTAAAAAATGGCATAGTGAATTTTAATTATTTTTTTCTTAATAATAGTCCATACCAGGCACATTTTCTGGAATAATGAATTGTATGTTGTATCTCACAACTGACTGAAGCAGTGGTAGTCACAAGGAAACTCACCTCATATTTGTCTAGTTGTAGCAACCAGTTGTTGCCCATTTTTGTATTTTCCATTTTAAAATTTACATTTTACTTTATAAAAAAAGTATCACAAAAACATTTTTTTATATTACATAGGATCAACTGCTATGATATCTTTTTATATTACATAGGATCAACTGCTATGATATCTTTTTATATTACATAGGATCAACTGCTATATCTTTTTATATTACATAGGATCAACTGCTATGATATCTTTTTATATTACATAGGATCAACTGCTATGATATCTTTTTATATTACATAGGATCAACTGCTATGATATCTTTTTATATTACATAGGATCAACTGCTATGATATCTTTTTATATTACATAGGATCAACTGCTATGATATCTTTTTATATTACATAGGATCAACTGCTATGATATCTTTTTATATTACATAGGATCAACTGCCATGATATCTTTTTATATTACATAGGATCAACTGCTATGATATCTTTTTATATTACATAGGATCAACTGCTATGATATCTTTTTATATTACATAGGATCAACTGCTATGATATCTTTTTATATTACATAGGATCAACTGCTATATCTTTTTATATTACATAGGATCAACTGCTATGATATCTTTTTATATTACATAGGATCAACTGCTATGATATCTTTTTATATTACATAGGATCAACTGCTATGATATCTTTTTATATTACATAGGATCAACTGCTATGATATCTTTTTATATTACATAGGATCAACTGCTATGATATCTTTTTATATTACATAGGATCAACTGCTATGATATCTTTTTATATTACATAGGATCAACTGCCATGATATCTTTTTATATTACATAGGATCAACTGCTATGATATCTTTTTATATTACATAGGATCAACTGCTATGATATCTTTTTATATTACATAGGATCAACTGCTATGATATCTTTTTATATTACATAGGATCAACTGCTATATCTTTTTATATTACATAGGATCAACTGCTATGATATCTTTTTATATTACATAGGATCAACTGCTATGATATCTTTTTATATTACATAGGATCAACTGCTATGATATCTTTTTATATTACATAGGATCAACTGCTATGATATCTTTTTATATTACATAGGATCAACTGCTATGATATCTTTTTATATTACATAGGATCAACTGCTATATCTTTTTATATTACATAGGATCAACTGCTATGATATCTTTTTATATTACATAGGATCAACTGCTATGATATCTTTTTATATTACATAGGATCAACTGCTATGATATCTTTTTATATTACATAGGATCAACTGCTATGATATCTTTTTATATTACATAGGATCAACTGCTATGATATCTTTTTATATTACATAGGATCAACTGCTATATCTTTTTATATTACATAGGATCAACTGCTATGATATCTTTTTATATTACATAGGATCAACTGCTATGATATCTTTTTATATTACATAGGATCAACTGCTATGATATCTTTTTATATTACATAGGATCAACTGCTATGATATCTTTTTATATTACATAGGATCAACTGCTATGATATCTTTTTATATTACATAGGATCAACTGCTATATCTTTTTATATTACATAGGATCAACTGCTATGATATCTTTTTATATTACATAGGATCAACTGCTATGATATCTTTTTATATTACATAGGATCAACTGCTATGATATCTTTTTATATTACATAGGATCAACTGCTATGATATCTTTTTATATTACATAGGATCAACTGCTATGATATCTTTTTATATTACATAGGATTAACTGCTATGATATCTTTTTATATTACATAGGATCAACTGCCATGATATCTTTTTATATTACATAGGATCAACTGCCATGATATCTTTTTATATTACATAGGATCAACTGCTATGATATCTTTTTATATTACATAGGATCAACTGCCATGATATCTTTTTATATTACATAGGATCAACTGCTATGATATCTTTTTATATTACATAGGATCAACTGCTATGATATCTTTTTATATTACATAGGATCAACTGCTATGATATCTTTTTATATTACATAGGATCAACTGCTATGATATCGTCTCCTCCCAAACACCATTTGGTGGATACAAACAATCAGGACAAGGGAGAGAAGTGTGAGTACATTTTCAGCCTTTAACAATTTACATTTTATTGCCCATTAAAGTTTTATTTTGATTTGCCTGCTTTAATGAACATTTTAAAAGCTTTTATTTATTTTACTGCCTGTCTGGGTAGGAATTTGCAGCTAAATTTTACCCACTTCTCCCAGATCGTTTAATTTTACAAACTTATTGGTACACAGTTATTGTAGGCCTAAATCTGAAATTAAAAGCATGGGTCACACTTAAAATCTTGGTATCAATGTTGAAATTGAGTATTTTTGTAGGCTACTACCAGTTCAAAACAAAATGTGCATATAGGCCTATATTCATATTAGTAGCCACACATTAAATTTATTTTGTTAAATTTATTTTATAAATTTTTTTTTTATTTATCACACAAAATTATAGCAACCAACATTTTTTTGTATAAAATTCTTCTTTATTCATACAAAACTGCTTTGGACAACGTTCTTATGAACCTCCTAAATGTATTATTGAATTGAAAAAAACTTTTTCTTTCCATTTCAGGGGAGAGTATGCACTTCAGCTGTACACAGAAATTAAAACTGTGACTGTTCAGATCCCTGGAAAAAATTCTTAAGCTGCTAGTCATAATATTTTGTTGGCTAATGGTTTATGCTTTTGAGATGTTGTTGCAGTACTTTTTTCTTATCAAACATTTTTTTAAATGTGAATTTATAACAATTATGGATACAATTTTTTGTTAAAACTACAGCTTTTATTTTATTGCAAAATTGTATTTGATTTTCACTTATTAAAAGTGGTATAATTTGCTCATTTTTCCTAGAAGTTGAATATTTATGTTCAAAAATAGCAAAGTACTTTTTTTTTCAAAGATAAGAATTACATTGTATGTTTTGATTATTTGTTTTCTTCTACAGCTAATTTGGTGATAATGTAGCAATCAATAAAATGCTTTTGATTCTCTCCTGTATCAATCTACAGTGTATTTAGTTTTCTGATTCCTTACTCACCACTGAACCATGTTAAAAACACATGACTTAATGTGTTTACATCTACCCTACAGTAGGCTGCGGACAACCTGTGACTGCTCATGTTTATGGAGTTTATGAGATATTGAAATACCTTTATAGTTGTATTATGCCAATATAATTACCATGTTAAAATTATTTGCATTTAAATCAATTTATGTCATCTGTGTTATTATCCTAGCATGTCGTATTTAGTATTTACTTTGACATTATTAAAGCTGTGTATGTGTTAGACTATAAAATTTCTTTAAAATATACAGTTTACTGAAACATAACTTTTTTTGGTGAATATTTTTTCACATTCTGTACTATCTACTCTAAATATATTCTATTTTAAGCCTATTTTAGGGTGTTATAATATGAATTTCTTTATTCCCGTGGAGCCCACATCTACTTTCACTAGTGGATTTTCTTTAATTACCTGTTTGTTCTATAGATCATCATCATCTATCATTCCTGCCCAAGAAATATAGCGCAGATGAAGTAGAGCTCATCTGTTTCTAAGATCTTGGCATGAAAAGGGATTGTGTCCAGCTACTTTACTTGCCCTACGTGAGTTAGGTACCCACCAGAACAGCGTACAAATTCGAGTGTGGGATCCGAACTCAAAACTGTCTGGTTAGCTGCTGTAAGCTCTACCATCTGACCACTCAGCCTCTTAGTCATATTGGACAATTGTTTAGTAGTTAGGTGATAAGCCTAGTACCCAGTGATGTGGGGTAGCTTGTGTTTTGGACCATGGATGTCATATCGTGCATAGATATTGTCCTGTACACTGTGAGAGAGAAAAGAAATATTTTCTTAGAAACGCCTTATTTAAGGTAGCGGCGTGTACAAATGGTAACCTCAAGTTTCACTCTCGAGTCCCACATTTCCATTCTTCACTGAAAGAAACCCTGCCAGAGGCGTAGCGAGGGGGGGGGGTACATATGTCCCCGGGCGCCGACCTTAGGGGGCGCCAAAATGGGT